TGCTGAAGTCGACATCATGAGTCCAGGATGGAGTCGTGTCACACTTTCACATAATGAGTCGTGAGTCCATCCTCAGTGACCCTGAACTCTCTAAAGTGTTCAGGTGTGAACACAGTTTGTGTCCACGTCTCACCTGTGTGGACTTTTACACACACATATACAGTACTGCGCAAAGGTTTTAGGCAGGTGAGAGAAACTGCTTTCAGAAATAAAAGAGTTAATCATTTATTTTTATCAGTCAGTGAATTTTCGGAGCGCTTCGGTTGTCTCGGCGCTGTCACACTGGTAATCTGAGTTCTGCAAACATGCGTGTGTTTAAACGGTACTTCCTGTCTTCCTCCTGTGGCTACACCCACAGGGGTTTGCATGTGGTTGTGTTTTTGGTGTACTCGACAAAGTTCCTGCACACGTCTGTGAAGGAGTACATTTCCAGGTTTTTATTAGTACTTCTCTCACTTTGACTTATTACAAGGAAATGTTTTATAATCTTGTGAAGTTCTCGTGGTTCATTCAAATGTAGGTTTTTTGTTCTTGGTCATCATCATGTAAGACAACAGTTTTCCATGGAAAGCAAATTTTCCTACATTTCAGCCCCGCTGTTAATAAACGGTGAGGCTCAACATTTAATCTTCCACCTTAAACAGGAGCTGACCTCATCCACACTCCTTTAGCAGCACTTCTGTGTTTTGTGGAAAATTTGAACTTTTTGATGCTGAGACGAACCAGCCGCAGAGCCTCGGATCCTCCCGCGTCACGCACACCTGCGTGTTGTAACGGAGGCCGTTTACATGCTGTGAAACTCTGAGCCGTGTGGAATACCAAGAAATCACAAACCCACACAGCAGCTCGTCTGAAAGCTCGCTACGATTATTAAGCACCTCGCGGCTTGGAGAGGCGCCGCTGACGTTTTTCACTCTGTGGTTTTTGGCAGCGTCTTCCTATCCCCAGCTCACATCTGCCTGTGTTCGAGGAAACGCTGAGCTTCAAGAGCAGAGGGTCAGTCATCTCTGCGAGCTGGAATATGTCGGCTGAAGGAGATTAAACACACATGATTCACAGATTCTTCCTCAATAAGCAGGACCTGAAAGTCACATTGAAAGTTACAGAAAAATCCCCCGCTCACATGTCCTGGTAGGCAGGATTCATTCACTTCATCAGGGTCAGCTGATGCCCCCTGATCGGGGTCAGGAGCAGGTGAGACAGCGTCTGGAGGTTTGGGCTGCAGGTGTAGAGCTGATTTATAGCCTGTATCACATTTACACAGGAGGCGCTAACACAAAGAGCACGTTCACACGCCCCAAAATACATCTGTGACCAAAATAAGCATAATAAACAAAAACCTAAACAAAACGTTATTATGAAGATGAATATATTCCTATTTGTAGCAGTAATAGTGATGTTTCTGCACATTTATTATCAATGAGAGTCAAGCTGGACAGCAGATCTGTGGCCACGCCCACACATGTGATTAATACTCTGGGTGCTTTAAGTGCAACCACTTACTGTCTAATTGTCCTCGTCCACGTGGAAATGCAGAAGTGTTGGCCAATCAGAAGCCTGCAAACAAAAACATGGCGCACGGTCTGGTGTCAAAAAAAGGAAGTAAAGGTGCGCACGAGGCACGGCAATCAGCTTTCATAAGCTCCGTTTTCACACATAGCTTTCCAGAACCATCTTATATTTATGGGGAAAATTTACATTTACATTTACAACAAAAATGGCAAATTTTCAGTACAAATGTGAAACGTTTATGAGAAAAACAATAAACTCTTCAGTGTGTTGGAAAATGTGTCGTATCCTGCAGATTGTAGTAGAGCAACAAACTAACAACTATTCTGGCTTTGATCAAATAAAACTTTAATGTATGACTTCACAGTATTTCCTGTAAAACTAGAATGAAAATAATTCACATATTGAGCTAAAATCCACTAAAACAACACTTAATGTCTTCTTCACAAGAAAAATAAAATCAGTTCAAAGCAGTTGTAGCAAAAACACAGTAAATACCAACACGTTCTCACTCCCAAAGCGTAACATTTTACGCTAGGTGACAAATCGTCATCATATTACGTTTTCGGCTACCCACCACGTTCCTAAATGACAACCTCGGAAAAATGAGGAAATATGAGAAAATATGAGAACCGTCTGGACTCAATCTACACATGTTCGCTCTTTTTCTTCAAATCGCTTAGAAACACGCTATTTAACATCATTAAAGTCCTGGTTAAGCTCAGGAAAAAGGTTATGGTTAGGGCTAGGGATAACGTTAGGTTTAGGGCTGGAATACAGGGCTGGAACGTCTATTACCGCGGGAGCGTCATTGCACTGGATTTCGGCCATAACCCGCCGCGTACCATAAGAACGCCGAAGGTCTCCTTTTGCGTTCCTCAGGAACGCCGCGGGACGTGACAAAACGTCGGCATGTTACGCCTCGGGAGTGAGAACGGGCTGTAAATACATAACAAACATTAAAGAAAAACAGTTATTTTGAGGGTTTTGGTGACCTTGTTTTTACCCAAGTAAAGAAAAAACAACTTTTTCCACCACAGTCTCAGTCGGCTCGTTATCTTCTGATTGCTGCTGCTGGATATGAGTCCTCTCGTTCTCTGTGTCCCTTTTGTAAAAAACTTCTTGGTTATGTTTAATCAAGAAGACGTATGTGGTTACATTTATACAATTATAGTGATTTGTTGTTGCTGTCTTCATGGGTACTTAAAGGTTTAAAGCTCATTAAACCAGGAGGCGATGGTGCCGTCACCGAGATGATCAGCCCACCAGCGGCTGGGCGAAGGCGGGACACGACCTCCTTAACCTCGATACTCACTAATGCTCAGCTTTGACAGCTGGCAATAACTGCACAAACACAAAATACGAGCTACTTAACGAGCTGCAACAACTAAAAATATCCCTGTGATGGAACTTTATAAATAGATCACGAGCCACACGACTTTCATCGGATTTATGTCCGAGTACACAAAATGAACATTTTCTGCTGAAGTCGACATCATGAGTCCAGGATGGAGTCGTGTCACACTTTCACATAATGAGTCGTGAGTCCATCCTGTTTTGTAAATCATTGCAGTGTCCAGAAACTAAAAGTGTGATTGTTTAAAACACAAATTGAAATCTAAAATAATTTTGTGACTCGTTCAACGATAAATGAAAACAAATGAATGAACATGTCAAACACTTCTTTTCATCAGGGTTTGAGTTTTGAACCAACATTTATTCAGATTACAGTCTTTACTTGTACCGCTGCAAATACAACAAATACAAATATTTTACCAACAAAAGAATTTTATGACTAAACTTTCGGAGCGCTTCGGTTGTCTCGGCGCTGTCACACTGGTAATCTGAGTTCTGCAAACATGCGTGTGTTTAAACGGTACTTCCTGTCTTCCTCCT